TCCTAGCCCCGTAAAAAATATTTTATTTTGTCTAGGTTTTTATCAGACTAAAATGTCCAAGCTCATCATTGATCCATTTATTTTTAGTAATAATTTCAATAAAATTACAATATAAGCAAAAAAAATAGGCAACCTTGGAGTATTATATTAGTGAATTGCTTGTATACATCACTTTAATCATTTGGTGAATATGTATGATGAGTGGCCCAATAATAGCTAATATTGACCAAAGAATTAAATGAATGCTAGGGAGAAGAAAAAAATTAGTGGTTATTCTTTAAATAGCTATATTGTTAATTCTTGATACTTTGTGCATTATTGGTAGTGGGATATACATAAATAATAGAAACCTGTATCATTCAAAATCTCAAAGGCAAAAGCTGCACTGTGTTCTATCAAACCTTTACACATTGTTGATTGCTCTGGTGCTCATCTAATTTCCTGATTACTTTACCCATCAGGAAAGTATATTCAAGATCCATGCTAGACCTAAAAGTCAGGTTAATAGGGGAAGATGAGGAAAAAACAAAGATGAACTTGCTGTTCTCAAATCACTAAGATTTGTTTCTTCTTGCAGGGAAGATGGATTGGAAAGGAATCTTGTGGCCTGATATAAATGCTGAGATTTGTAAGTCCACCGTTATCTGAACGAATGATTTACATATGCCCTTCGCACTGCCCTGTGCAGTATGGCATACTCCCTCAGCACCACTTATATCTTTATGTACTTACACACTCCCTGCTCTACTTTGTCCAGGTGCCAGCAAGTAAGGATCTGGGGAGAAAGAGGAAGTGGTAACAAGTGGCACCTTTGAGCTGGCTATCACACCAGTTTTGTTTGGAGTGAGGACAGAAACAAAAATCTGCATGAAGCCTTCAGGACAGAAGAGAGGCAGGGACTGAAGGAGGGAAAAAGCCCCAAAGCTGCAGGCCTGTCTGAAGGCCACTGAAAGTGTGGGTGGAAACAGGTATCCTTTCTGCATACACCAGTAGCAACTGCTGAGGTGAGTGGAGGTGTGGGAGTTGTGGAGGAAGCACAACTGCTGCTAACCCTGCTGGTGAAACTCTATGGAGGCACTTTGAAGAAAGGGGAGCAATAAGTTAGGAAAAATTTTTAAAGTTTGTCAGATCCCAGTGCACTGAAATCCTGGGGTGAGGTCCCTGAGGAACGGTAGTGCTTGGCTGAAACCATGTGTCATTCACATGGAAAGCACAGTTTAAAAGATGACAGGAACAAGGGTAAACAGCCTCTTAATTATGGTCTGAAAGAGAGCTGCTGTTTCTCTCCAGTTATACAAAGTCACAAGGGCTTCAACCAACAGATGTCAATGCACACTTGATACGAGATGCAGAAAAGACTCAGCCTTCATTTTGAGAAATTTATTAAAATAAGGACAAGCATCAGTTGTACATGGAAATAATCATTTGCACTAAGTGGTACTCAAGCAGAAGAGCAGTTTTAAATATATTTTAAAAAATCACAAAATACATTGGTTAAGGCACCTACATCTTGTCTCATTTTTTCAATAAATATGCTTTTTTTTTTAAAAAGGCAGTAGTGAGGACCTCTGATTAAATGAATATAGGCACTGTGCTATTAAAGATAGTCAGTCATACTTTGCTGTGGCCACTGTGATTTATTCTCAAAAGAACTTTCATTAGCTTGGTTTAGCATTTAAAAAAACAAAACTGAGTATGAAAAAAAATCACAGTTTTCTCTTTCCAGTCTTAAGTCTCTTCCAGAGAGACCTATGTACAAAAGGTACTATTTCTTCATGTATTCCTTAGTAACAAGGAATTATACAGAAGGTGCAAGATTGCCTCCCAGAAAGTAAAGCCATCAGAGGTTGAATGTTTCAGAACAGCATGAGTCTTTGGGAAAGTATTTTTTTCAACTGCAATAAAATCAGCTGGGTTTAGAAAACTCCAGACCTTACAGCATCCAAGAAGTGCCCACTGTTCAAGGAGTTCAGGGAGTGCCCTCTGTTCAAGGAGTTTTGTTAAGCAGTTGAGGGAAACCAGGTCCAGCTCCTGTGTTGTACAGGGTATAGACAAAGCACCAGCCCGGGAGTCAAGTGGCCTGGGTGCTCGCTCAGTGCCACCAGTACTTCCAAAATGCCAATTTGGCACTTTTGTTACAGTGCTCATTAGTTCATGAAGCCTGTGCTTGTGCATCCTCTTAGTTTGGTCACCTGTAAGATGAAAAGGTTGGAGCTTCCTGTGTTTTTGTACGGTTCCAGCAGCTCGCTAGTCTGATGGTCTGAATTGTTTTTGGTCACAGCTGATGCCACTGCAGGTAATAGGCGCAGCCACTCCATAGACACAATGACCACAGCAAAGAGGAGAAAAATTAAATGTCCACAACATTGTCAGATTGTTTGAGGCCTGGGCACAAATCTTTTCATCAAAGCCCTGTATGCTATTTAATTAAAAGACACTGTTTAACTGGAGTTATGTTATTCACAGAAAAATATTAAGATTTCTCTTATTAGATAATATAACTTCCGTGGCAGAACTAGGTTGCATAGATCTCTGAGATTAACTTCACATTTTCACACATTTGGTTTCTCCAGTCAGGTCATAGTTCAGCACCTAAGATACGGGCTGGATACGGGCACGAGGGAAATACTAGCAAGAATCTTGACATGAGCCACTCCTCATTTGGGGTGAGATTTTCTTTTTTTTTTTTTTTTTCTCAGCTATATAGAAGGGGCTGCCCATCTCATTTCCTTTACTACTGGTATATGACATGGGAGAATGCAGGTTGGCAAGACTTAAGCTGGGAGACATGCTTTACTTTTTGGCAAGTAAACTAGACACATGGTCAAAGCTTTATGAAATCTGGGACCTACTGCTCAGATGGAGTAGAAAATACAACTAATTTTATTCTGAAATGATAATATTGCTTTTACCTGCTAAGGTTTGGTCTTCAGTTTTACTTTATATATATACACACACACGTGTGTGTATATATATATATGTTGACTTTAAATTATAGAGAACGTTTTTATAAAACATTAAAGTCAATCATTGAGAAGCAGTTGGATACAAAGCATCTAATCACAAAAATAGAAGAAGAAATCACAGAGCACTTCAGGAAGAAACTCTGGTGCTGAAGGGCATTTAGTTGTTCTTCTCCAGGGACCTGTAATAATCTGTCAGGACTTTCCATGCTTTGGGGGCCATGAAGCCATCTGGGGGATTCTCTCCTTCCCGGGCCAGCTTCCTCATACGAGTTCCTGAGATGAAGTCAAACTCATTGTGCCTGTCAGAGGGTAGCAACAAAGAACTCAGCATAGGTAAATAACATCCACCTTAAAGATCCCAGGAGTAGGATGGGTTCTGAGACCACATTTTTTCTTTCTGTAAAATGCTGCGTCTTCTAAAATAAGCAGTTCACTAAATCTTCAGTAAAGGAACTGGCAGAAGAAAGGGCAATCATGGCAGCTACCCATTCAATACTGTGTACCTACTCAGTTCATGGGAAGCGTCTTCTATCAGCTCTGCCTACTTGTGTGAGCTCTGAGCGTGGTGCGTGCTCTATAAATGCTCATTGAAATCTTTTTCTGTGTTTACTGCCTTTCACATAATGTGCCAGGCACTCTGTGCATGCTCAAGGAATGTATGTTAAAAAAGAAATATTTATGGACCATCTACTATATGCAAGGGGCTGTGCTACAATTTTAGGGGGCACGAAATGTGCAAGACCAGGTCTTAGCTTTCAAGGGACTCTCATTCCAATTAGGAGCATGTGGAGATGTACTGGGGAGCTTTCCAAAGTTTTGCCTCATCATTCCAGCTGTACAGATGTTGATTTAAAGAATTTTTCTCTGGGACTTCCCTGGTGGTGCAGTGGTTGAGAGTCCGCCTGCCGATGCAGGGGACGCGGGTTCGTGCCCCGGTCTGGGCAGATCCCACATGCCGCGGAGCGGCTGGCCCCGTGAGCCATGGCCGCTGAGCCTGCGCGTCCGGAGCCTGTGGTCCG